CATTATATTCATCCATTTTTGTAAATAAGATATAACATTCACTGACTTCTTTGAAAAATTGGTTTACTCACTATGCTTAAAAACATTTTGTCTACTTTCTTTTTGGAAGGCTTTATTATCTTGTTTTGGGTGCCACAAAAACAACTAAATTTCTTTGTCAGTTGCATTATTCTTGTCGGGAATTATCATCAGACCTTTGATGCTTAAAAATTTACAATCTACATCTACAATTTGCATCTACAGATAGTTTTTGTTTCACTCTGATGCTTGTCTGAAGGATCTACAATCAGCCACAGGCTAGATAGAGTTTGTGTCTTCAACAAAGAAGAACCATCTTAGAGACTTGTGCAAAAAGACTGTACCAGGTACTTCAAACTATTGACTATGAAGAATAGTCTGAGGCACAGACTTCTGATGGCATCTCTTAGACAACTTGCAGACCATCCCAGTTAGCTGAGTCAGGATTTTCAAAACTCTTTTAAGAGGCAGAATATTTCATGAGACTGCTAACCCAAGATCTAACAGAATAAGAATTATATGGGACTGAAAGAAATGGTGAGGAAAATTTTATTGTGGTTATTTGTTAGTAATACTGTTGATGCTGTTTTAATATTCTGCTTTCTGGGCACATAAAAAATTTTCTTCTTTTTAAGCAACTAAATAACTAATATATATTGTTAGTAACATTCAGTAAATGTGTTACTAACTCAAACCAATTTAGCAGACTCTGCTTTTGTAAACAAAAATGAAACATTTTAAAATGGTATCTGGTTCCCACTGATCCCCAACCCCATCTCAAGAATGCAAAACTCTTACTAAGTCTCCCTATTTTTCATGGCAATTAGTTATTTGCATAGGTTCAATAAGAATCTACCTTCCCTTTTACTGAACATAACTGGAAACACTGGTTATAAAATCAAAGCCTTGCCTGGAACGCCATATTTGAGAATGACACTCATTTTAATCAGTTATGACAACCATTCTAAGAAACTAATGTTACCAAATCAATGTTACAAAGATATAACAGGAAAATTGGCCCAGTATCTATCTGGTTTACTGGGTTCCCAGCCTTACAGATGAATTCCAATTCACTTAGCAAACTAATAATGTAGTATGGTAGTATTACCTATAAATTTACTACAGCAATTCAAAATAAATTTAATATTACATATAATTACATTTATTTATGTCTATAACAGAAACAAAAATGTTGCAGTAACAGTACTCATTAACACACACACACATATTTTAAGGGTATTTTTGTGGTTATGTGTTTTGCCCCTGTATCTTTGATATGCTGATTAAATAAAATGTAAAAAGGAGAATTTAGTGACACCAACAGTAGCTAAACTGATGTACATAATAAAAAGTTGGAAGAGGAAACAGTAGAATCAGAATTTGTTGAGATTTTAAATAAAAAGAACATGTAATAGGCTGGAGTCCTTGCAAGACTGGAAAGTGATTGGGAGCAGATAATATAATGAATGGGACTAGGAGGAGATAGGTGAGAGCAGGGTTTTAAGACATTCCCGGTGTTTTATGTAATGTTCTCCCCTCCTTGTCCTCACTATAAGAAACTAACACAAACCTATATCACTTTTGTTAACATAACACATGCATATATGTTAAATAGTGCCAAAAGATGAATAATGCCACAGCTATTCCCTGACACACTCCTTAGAACCACTTCCCTGAGGCAATCACTTTAATTCTTTTAGGTATTTCTTCTTGTAGTTAACTCCATAAAAACCAAATCTGTTGCCATTGAGTTGATTCTGACTCAAAGTAACCCTAAATGGCGGAGTAGAGCTGCCCCATAGGGTTTCTAAGGAGCAGCTGGTGCATTCGAACTGCCGACCTTTTGGTTAGCAGCCTGAGCTCTTAACCACTGCGCCACCACGGGTCCATCACCCCTCTATAGTAAGTGTCTTGCTATTTCTTGATTTATCAATGTTAGATACTATCTATAAACTACAAATTATCATCACCATCATAACTAACATTAATATACACAATTCAAAGTGTTTTATGTATATTTATTTATTTACTTTCCACAATAAACCAGTAAAGGATATTTTTTACCATCACCATTTTACTGATGAGGAAACTGAAAGGTGAATTAACTTGCCCCAAGTTACAAAGTTTACAGAGCTATTAAGAAGTGAATTCAGTCAGACTGGCTCCAGAGCCTTTACTCTTAACTACTGCACTTCATAATACTGCCTCTCATAGTAAGTGAAGATTCACCTCTCTTACACCACTCCTCACCCTCACTTCTAATATTTTTAGTTAAATCAATAAAAAAAAGTGTTAACATCATAATGGCTACATACATATTGTTCACAAAGAACAAGTAGTTTAACATGTTCTTTCTTGTAAAGTTTCTTTTTTTCCTTTGAGCTGTTGTTATCATTAAGTAATTTTCTACACAGACATGCCTACTCTCTGAAATGTTCCATTTTATCATCCACATCATCTACTCCACAAGTCTTCTTTTCTCTCTGCCATCTAAATGGTTTTAATCATTTTTTATGGGAAGTCATCAAACTGGCATATCCTTTTATGGAAAACAGTGTGCTGAAATTAAGGACAACGGAGTCCACTATTATGAGTTAGATGAAGGTTAATAAGTTCCTTAACCAATTTAAAGAAAAAAACAAGGCTGTACTTGTATATGCATAAAACACATTTGTAGTACCCACAACTATGGACAGATCATCTAAACCATGGATTACCAGGGAAAAAAAATAAAAGATAGGAAAACTGCCACAAATCAATTTTCATTTTAAAGGCCACCTAATGTCTGGAACCACACAATAATGAAAAGGTCCCATACGATACCATAGGAAGTATACTTGTAAATGAAAACACTATTCACTGTCAAAATTCAAGCGTTACCCAAAAATGTTGTGGCATATATTTATATAAATTCATCCATATGAATTTGAGCTGCGTAGTGCTGCAGGTTTTAATGCAATAAAATAATGCTAGTCACCAAATTGTCAGAATCCTGGCAAAAGCCTGTTGTTAACAGTGAAGAAAAGCAGCTCAACAAATGGAATATTTAAAATCTAAAATAAAAAATAAATAAATGTTTCATAATTGGAAAAGGGAAAAAGACAGGTTAATTTCTTTTACATTTTTGTGAAGTCTTCAAGTGGTATAGGTTACAGAAATTTAAAAAATTCCTTCTTCAAAAGCCTGATGAGATCTACGGTGTCCTGAGTTCCTAAATACTGGATGAGTTTTAATTTCAGTATACACTAAATCCATTTTGTACCATGCATTGACTGTTGTTGTTGTTAGGTGCCACTGAGTTGGCTCCAATTCATAGCAACCCTATGTACAACAGAACGAAACACTGCCCAGTCCTGCGCCATCGTCACAATCATTTGCTATGTCTGAGACCACTGTTGCAGCCACTGTGTCAGTTCATCTCACTGAGGGTTTTCCTCTTTTTCACTGACCCTCTATTTTACCAAGCATCACGCCCTTCTCCAGGGCCTGGCATGTCCAAAGTGTGTGAGACGAAGTCTCACCAATCTTGCTTCTAAGGAGCATTCTGGCTGTACTTCTTCCACGATAGATTTGTTCATTCTCCTGGCAGTCCATGGTATATTCAATATTCTTTGCCGACACCATAATTCAAAGGTATTAACTCTTCTTCGGTCTTCCTTATTCACTGTCCAGCTTTCACATGTATATGAGTTGACTGAAAATACCATTGACTTGGGTGAGGCACACCTTAGTTCTTAAAGTGACATCTTTGCTTTTCAACACTTTAAAGAGATCTCTTGTAGCAGATTTGCCCAATGCAATGAGTTGTCTGATTTGACTGCTGCTGTCATGGATGCTGATTACGGATCCAAGCAAAAGGAAATCCTTGACAACTTCAATCTCTTCCCTGTTTACCATGATATTGCTTATTGGTGCAGTTGTGAGGATTTTTGTTTCTTTATGTTGAGATGTAATCCATACTGAAGGGTGTGGTCTTTGATCTTCATCAATAAGTGCCTCAAGTCCTCTTCACTTACAGCAAGCAAGGTTGTATTATTTGCATATCACAGGTTGTTAATGAGTATTCCTCCAATCCTGATGCTACATTCTTCTTCACATAGGCAAGCTTCTTGGATTATTTGCTCAGCATACAGATTGAATAAGTATGGTAAAAGGATACAATCCTGACACACACCTTTCCTGACTTAAACCACACAGTATCCCCCTATTACATCTGAATGACTGCCTCTAGATCTATGTACAGGTTTCTCATGAGCACAATTAAGTGATACAGAATTCCCATTCTTCGCAATGTTATCCATAATTTGTTGTGATACACACAGTCAGATGTCTTTGCATAGTCAACAAAACACAGGTAAACGTTCTCTTCTCTCAGCCATGATCCATCTGAAATCAGCAATGATGTCCCTTATTCCACATCCTCTTCTGAATCCAGCTTAAATTTCTAATACTTCCTTGTCGTCCATGTACTGTTATAACCACTTTTGAATGATCTTCAGCAAAATTTTACTTGTGTGTTATATTAATGATAATGTATATATTATAAAATATACATTTGTTCTATTCATCTAAAATTTATCTTACACATTAATTTTATAATACTACGATGCTGAGAGTTACTTCTACTTTAACAAGAAAAGACATCAAGGAATATAAGCTATACCCAAAATAAAGAAAGCAATGATCTTTTTAGCTCTTTACTCACAAAATCTCTTTTTGCCTCCACGCAAAATTTTTGGGGTTCTAAATTTCTATACTATTCAATAACACAGTTTCCATAAAATGTTATCTGTCTATAAATTTATAAGACCCTATATTCTCATATAATATGTAAAATAAAAATTTTTCCCAAAGAGAAAACATTATATCATCAATTTACTTTCAGAAATGCTGAAGAGCTAGAAGAGAAGAGTATGTTCATCTATTAAGTTTCCTCTTATATACTCAGTCTATTTTAAATTGTGTATTTTACACGATCTTACCTCTGCTGGATGCTGAATTATGTACAAGCGGGTAGAGATGTGTAGAGGATGGACTGGTAGAAATGGACATAAACACACTTTCTGAGGCCGGCTAAAGGGTAAACAGAAAAGAAAACCTGTCAGTTTTTGTAATACAATGATATATCAATAACCTGAAACTTGAATATAATCCCATTTGGTTGTATAAAGAGATTTGCTAAAGCTGCACTCTTTTAAAAACGAAATATCAAGAATTAATTTACTCAGACTGCAGATATGAGAATTTGGAAAAAATTTCAAGTAAATTCTTTATCATATATCTGGATTAAAACTACCTCAAAAAAAAAATCCTATCTTATCTTTAGTGGAAGAATACTCATAAGGCATTGTGGTCCTTTCATTCATGGAGCAATACTTCTACTAATTTCCATTCCAAATCAATAACAGATCTCATGTCAAAGAGAAACCTGGCAACTCTTCTAAGTCATCTAAAGTTGGAAGGAACAATAGGGTGATAAAATATTAGAATATAATTATCACCTATAGGAGAGTCCTAATTAAACTTCTCCACCAATCAACACAAATAGCTTTCCAATTGTAAGGAGAAACCCAGACTGGACCACAAAATTATAAATTATATTTAGCTAGGATTATATCCACAGAGTATCTGCTTTCTTTTTTTCCTTTTGTCGTTATTTACTCCATTTTTATGCTTTATTTGTTAGTTCCTTATTATTGTTTAGGTAGCACTTATACTCAGTACAAAATTCAGATGAAATAAAAGGGTACCTCCCACCTCAGTATTCCAATTTGGGACATCCTCTTCTATAGGGGCAAGCAACTATCAGTTTCTTGTCTATCCTCTGGAGATATTGTGTGAATACACCCACTCCTCGCTTACCGACACGGTTAGGTTCCAAAAACCAGGTCGTTACATAAAAATAGGCATTATGCAAAAATGGAGTATGACCACATCAGATCACAAAATGGAAAATGACTACATCACTACCAAATTACATCATTACATAACTGCCCAATTACATCATTACATAACTGCCAAATCACATCATTACGTAACTACCAAACCACTGAGAATTATGGCCCAGCCAAGTTGATACATAACCTTACCTATCACAGCCAGCGTTACTTTTGTCTCACACTTTGGCATTCACTACTGCCAGATGTACGTGGTTAATGCACAAAATCATCAGATAATAGATTCAATACTGTTGTAAATGCGAAATGTCAGATAATGAGATAGGAAGTGAGGAGTAGGTGTTTACGCTGATATTCTTATAAGATTTATTATTAAACCTCACATTTGGTATGTTTTCCCATAACATAAACTTTATCAAACACGCACTGTATATCATGGGAGTAAATCTTCACAGCGTATCACTATATCAGGCAGATGTTACATGCCATTACAATGATATACAAGTGAATGTAATATTAAAGGGAATTCCCAGTAATATTACTTAATACCATAAAATTGACCACTGCCAATTCTTCCCTGAATTTTATTTACTTGGAGTTACAGCCTGAGGTTAGAAATGCTTATATTAATAAACTATAGAGTGTGGATAAAGTGGTTTGAATACCTGTTACATCTACCACTTCATCTTTCAGGACACTGCCAAGTCTATGCTACTGCTGAAGAAACTATCTGATAATATCTTAGGCAGTGGTAGAAACACCACCTACCCCCACCTCCAGTGACCTGGAGTAGATGATTAACCCACGGAAAACCAATACACCCATTTTCAGGTGACCTCTGAGATGATTCTGTGTGACTGTTCAGTCCCAGACTGGATTCTCTCTCAGGAATGTGAGTAGATTTATGGGATGAAGAGAGTCTATCAATGGTCATAAGAACAAGCAAACATAAAGATGAGCAGACAGTGATAGAAAAAACTAGGCATAATGATAAAGATAAATGCAGGGCTGCTGTAAGAAAGGATTCTTCATTCAGTAGAAGGATAAACAGAATGAGGTACATTTAAGCTCTAAAAACTTAAGATTTTGATTTTTTTTAATGAAGCTATGTATGTGAGTGAAATGCTCGCTTAGATGTAGATGTCAGTAGATTTCTTTTATAAGATACAACTGTAGATCAAACAAGGTCATTTAAAAAACTTAGAATTCAACTTGGTATCAACCTATGTATCTGTAAATTTTATGATTCTATGATTATGAAAGAATGCTAAAAATAAAAATTAAATATGTCCTATGAATGAAAACATTTATGTATCAAAAGAGCCAGAGAACTGTAAAATCCAATCAGATAAACAAGCTGGATAGAAGTTACAGATTTCTGTGGGAGCAGAAAACTCAGTAAAACAAACTCTGAGACTAACTTTTTTAGCTCATGACATATATAACCAGTGACGGCCGAGTTAATTCTGACTCATGACAGCCCCATCTGTGTCAGAGTAGAACTGTGCTCCATAGGGTTTTCAATGGCTGGTGTTTTGGAAATAGATCACCAGGCCTCTCTTCCAAGGCACCTCTGGGTGGACTCAAACCACCAACCTTTTGGTTAGCAGCCAAGTGCGTTACCTGTTTGCTCCACCTAGGGACTCCTCATTTGCTATTCCAAAAACCAAACCCACTGCCAAGTTGATTCCATCTCATAGTGACCCCATACAGTTTCTAAGGCTGTAAGTCTTTACGGAAGCAGACTGCCACATCTTTCTCCCAAGGAGCGGCTGGTGGGTTCAAACTGGTGATCTTTTGGCTAGCAGCCAAGCACTTTAACCACCACACCACCAGGGCTCCTTCCTCATTTACTATAGTTAAGTACAAATTTGGCTTTAAGGTTTCCAATAACTAACCTGGAAAGATAAAAAGGAGGGTCAATTATAAAACTTAAAATTCCATAAAGATCATAAATCACTATTATTTTTGGTACCAAGAACAGACACTTCTCCCAGGGGGTCTTGGTAAAGAGGACATCATGTGATGTAATGACAAAATCCTCCACAACAGTGAAATTTGCTTCATCAGGCTTGTCCATGCTGAGAGCATAAAACCAAAAGGTAATCGGAAAAAGCAATATTTCAAACGGCAATACAACATGGATAGATAACCAGATTTCCACTGATCTAACTTGATCCAAAGATATAGTTTCAGCTTTCTGGAAGACCAGACAAACCGCATGTTCTTCAAGCAATTTTCCATGAATTTTATTTCTCTTAGTCTATCGACTATTGAGTTCCTATACTATATTAATCCTTAACGTCTACCATATTTACTTAATGCACACTCAGAAAATAAAATGAAACATGAGAAAGTTTTTTAAACTTAAAAGATTTACAACTGGGTTGGTGAATCAAGGAAAATATCAGAAATGATAAATAATACAAAGTAGTATCTATGTGTACAAATAAATGCACGTACAGAGAGAGAAAAAGAAATGATTAAGGGAAGTAAAGACAGAGCAAGTCTAATAAGAAGCCAGGACTTGAGAGAGGAGTTTCAAAAAATGGACTTTGGACTTAGGCCTGCAGAAAAGAGTTGGGAAAACATATTAAACAGTGACTGTACGCTTCATACATAAAAGAATAAATTAGTCTGTATTGTGTACGATAGTTTGGTTAGCATAGAGAGTTGAAGTAAAGGAGTAGTGAGAAGATAACTTGGAAAAGAAAGATTAAGGACAGCATGGAATATCACACTATGGAATTTGAAATTTTTTTACTGAAGGTGGAGGATGCTTTTTAAATATATGGGTGCCAAATTTTTCAATTTATTTTCAAAAATTAGAAGTAGCCAAAATCTACGTCTTTATTATAGCATGAATCTACTATCCCAATGTCAAAGTTATCATAGTATTTTTGCAAATACATCCCAGCTTTGACTAGTTTATAGTCAATAAATTTACACTATAAGTAGACTAATTCAGTTACATAGGAGTATATTTTAAATTATTTAAGAAAGAAAGCCAGGAAATTATCTTCTTCAAAGATGATTGAGATAGTTTTCTATGGCCATAGTGTGGGTACCTGGTTACCTACAACAATTTTGGTCATTATCAATGAAGGGTATTTCTTCATGTCTTAGTATAAAACCAAAATTAATTTCTGAGGAAAAAACTGCCTTAGCCCATAATGATTCCCTCTTGTGATGAAGAGTCAAAATGTAGTGGCCTTCAGCTCAGGTTATTAACTAAATAGCTATAACAATATCAAACAAAACAAAAATGAAGGGGAAAAAAGCATTTTAGGGGATTAAGAGGATCACAGCAAAATGGCAAAATGGTCAACTTACTAGTGAAGTAACAATTTTAAATTTGCAAGCACTTAATTTTTGCCTTATATATTCTGAGTCTCTGGCAATATGCCATTGGATTCTGAAGCAAAGTCATGCCGTCTAAAGCAGGAAACTATTCACAATTTAAAAAGCAGCTACTGGGCCCTAACAGAGGCTGAATGCCTGACCATGAAACACCAAATGACTGTGCAACTAACGAGTCATAAAGTTGAGTAGGCATAGCAGCAATTCATCATATGACTGAAATAATATAGATCTTGGAAAGCTAAAGGAAGTCACAAGAACAGGAGGCCTAGACCTCTACGCCACCTATTCTAGTGTACTAATGCTACTCCCTCACCTCACAGTTATGGCCTCTGAAGGAGTTTCCTATGACCAACTGACAAAAGAGGAAAGCACTTGGGCCTAAGTAAGCTGAAAATGAACAGCTGCCACATTACAACCTCACTCGTGGGTAGCTTTGAAGAACAATGGTGAGGGGAAATCCTCCCCATGTGCAGAGCTTCGAACAGTTCACGCGGTTATCAACTTTGTTTGTGGGAGATGTCAGATCTAAGAATATACTCGAACGCCTGGACAGTGGTGAATGGCTTGGCTGGTTGGCCAGAAAACTGGAAGGAGCAAGATTGGAAGATCAGAAATATTAGGATGGAAAAACAGGCAAATGGGTAGACTTATGAGACTGGACAGATGTAAAATGGCAGATGTAAATCCGAATTTAACAGTAATTAAGTTAAACATAAATAAATGAACTAATGTAAATGAACAATACCATCAGCCAACTAGACCTAACAGACATGTACAGAACATGCCACTCAACAGCAGAATAGATACTTTTTTCAAGTGCACATGGAACATTCTCTAAGACCACACAATATGGCAGAACACAAGCCTTAATAAATTTTAAAAGACTGAACACATACAAAATAGGTTCTCCGACCAAAATGAAATGAAATTAGAGACCAATTAACAAAGGAAATTCTGGAAACTCACAAATATGTGAACAGCACACTCCTAAATAACCAATGGTTCAAAGAAGAAATCAAAAGGGGAATTAAAAAGAGACTTTGAGATGAATAAAAATGAAGACACAACATACCAAAACTTATGAAATGCAGCAGTATTGAGAGGAAAATTTATAGCTGTAAATGCTTGTACTAAAAAAAAAAAGAAAACTCAAATCAATAACCTAACCTTTCACTTTAAGAATCTAGAGAAAGAAAAGCAAACTAAAGCCAAAACAAGATTTCAGAAGGAAACAGTAAGAGCTGCCTTTTCTGCAGAAATTCACAAGGTGATCCTAAAATTCATATGGAAATGCAAAACCCAAAACTTGTTGCCGTGGAGTTGATTCCGACTCATAGTGACCCTACAGGACAGAGCAGAACTGCCCCACAGGTTTTCCAAGGAGCAGCTCGTGGATTCAAACTGCCGACCTTTTGGTTAGCAGCCAAATGCTCAACCACTAATAGCCAAAACAATTTTGAAAAAGTTGCAGGACTCAAACTTTTCAATTTCAAAACGTACTACAAAGTTACAATAATCAAAACAGTGTTTTACAGACACAGGGATAAACATACAGGTCAATGAGATACCACTGAAAGTCTAGAAATAAACCCTTACATTTATGGTGTAATTAATTTTTGACAAGGGTGCCAATGGGGAATGAAATACCACTTCATCACACGCAGTAGGATGGCTATAATAAAAAAAATTTTTTTTAATTTTTTAAACAAAAAATAACAAGTATGGGTGAGGACATGGAGAAATTTGTTGTTGTTAGGTGCCATCAAGTCAATTCTGACTCACAGCGACCCTATGCACAACAGAAGGAAACACTGCCTGGTCCTGCGCCATCCTCACACTTGTTGCTATGCTTGAGCCCACTGTTGCAACCACTGTGTCAACCCATCTCATTCAGGGTCTTCTTCTTTTTCGCTGATCCTCTACTTTGCCAAGCATGATGTCCTTCTTCAGGGACTGATCCCTCCTGATAATATGCCTAAAATGCGTGAGACATAGTCTCGCCATCCTTGCTTCTAAGGGGCATTCTGGTTGTACTTCTTCCAAGACAGATTTGTTCATTCCTTTGGCAGTCCATGGTATATTCAATATTCTTCACCAACACCACAACTCAAAGGCATCAATTCAGATTCTTCATATATTCCAGGTGGGCAAGCAAAACGGTGTAGCCACTTTGGAAAACAGTTTGGCAGTTCCTCAAAAAGTTAAGCATAGAGTTACCATATAACTCAGTAATTCCATTCCTAGGTAAGTAGCCTAGAGAATTGCAAACATGTCCACATAAAAACTTGTAAACAAATGTCGATAGCTGCATTAGTCACAATAGCAAAAAAAAGCAGAAACAAACCAAATGTCCGTCAACTGATGAATGAATAAATAAATGAGGTATATCCATACAATGAGATATTATTAGCCACAAAAAAGGAATGAAGTTCAGCAAAAACAAAAATAAATTATGAAAAAAAAAAGAATGAAGCACTGATGCATGCTACGACATGGATGGACCTTGAGAACATTATGTTAAGTGAGAGAAGTTATACACAAAAGGTCTCATGTTGTATGATTTCATATATAAAATGTCAAGAATAGGAAAATCCAAAGAGACAAAGAATATTAGTAGTTTACAGAGGTTGATGGCACCAATGAGTCGGGAGTGACAACTAATGGGTACAGGTTTTCTTTTTGGGGTGATGAAAATGTTCTGAAATTAGTAGTGATGGTTGCACAACTCCCAATATTTACTTTAAAAGATAAATTTTATGGTATGTGAATTATATCTTAATAAAGCAATTATTTTCAAAAATGTAACATTCAGTGGAAAAAAAATTACCTAATTAGTAAGGGAGATGCAAATTAAAACCATCATGAGACACCACTGTATACCCACCAAACTGCAAAAACTTAAAAATTCTTAGAAAACAAATTAAGATTGAAATGCAGATTCTTTTTCACATTTGCTGAATTTCACTGAATGTATATTTGTCTACATTTAATACCAAATAAAAAATCTTAGTGTGCTAAAATAAGAATGATTCTAATTATCAAATAATTAACATTTAGAGATTTACTCTTCACTAAACTTAAACAGAGGCAGTGGTGGTTCAGTGGTAGAGTTCTCACCTTCCATGCAGAAGAGTCGGGTTCAATTTCTGGCAAATGCACCTCAAGCACAGCCACCCTCATCTGTCAGTGGAGGCTTGCATGTTAATATGATGTTGAAAATGTTTCAGAGGAGCTTCCAGACTAAGACAGACTACAAAGAAAGGCCTGGTGATCTACTTTCAAAAATCAGCCAATGAATCACAATGGTCTGATCCCTTTGTGCACAGAGCTAACATGAGTCAAGGCTGACTCCACAGTAGCTAATAACCACAACATACATAAAGAAAGGTCTGGTGATCTATTCCAAAAATTAACCAGTGAAAACCTTATGGATGACAACAGAACACTGTCCAATTTGCTTGCTTTGGACACATCATCAGGAGGGATCAATTCCCTTCAGCTGGAGGAAGACATCATGTTTGGTAGAGGGCCAGCAAGGGCAAGGGAAACCCTCGGTGAGCTGGATTGGCATAACAGCCTCAGAGATGGACCTGAACATGCCAGCGATCATGAGGCTGATGCAAGACCTAGCATGTTTCATTCTGTTGTACATAAAGTCAGAGTCACCAGGACAGCAGCTAGCTAGCTATCTTCTTGTTGTTAGGTGCTGTCTTAGGC